ACTGATTTACTGAGTGGATATGTCACAGTGCATACTGTAAAGCTCAATCCAAAATCTTGATTTCTTACCACACATGCACTGGCCCCACACCTGCTCACACCATTTGTTACAAAGATTCTGTACCATTAGTTTCTTTAAAATGCTATTCCCACGCCTCGGTTTTATGGAAACAGTAATATCCAAGTTGTTAAGTTACAGGCAGAGACTACAGACATACTAAATCTGAAGCTACGCCATCCTAAAAGTTACACCTTAGGGCCAAAAGCTATGCAATAAAGTTTGGTTCACTTGACTCACTTGATTGAAAAGACAGGATTTTAATGGTTCTAACCAGTGAACCATTCTTTTCAGGTCAGTGTAAAATCAATCTGCAACGTGAGGCATTCACATTGTTGGTTTAAGAGGTTAGAGTGATAGTTCAGCATTATGCAAAATACAGTTGCTTACTTTCTTGTCAAAGATTAAACTAAAAGATCAAATTTTTTGTCTAACAGGAGGAAACAGCCATTGTGTATAGCGGAGGTTTTCAGGGGTGTCATATGTGTCAAACCCATTTTAGTTCATGGGCCACATGAAGTCCCAGTTCACTGGCCTGTAAAACCCATGCATAATAATATGTATAAAAATAATAATGATGATAATAAGACAAAAAACCTTGAACATTTCCCCAGTGAAATGAAACATTAAAAAGCTCACATTTAATGAACCAGCTTTTTACAAAACAGACGACGAACAGCCTGAAGTGTCTCATTGCAAACAAAATACTCTAAGCTTAATTCAACAGTACATCTCAGTTTTTCACATTCGCTCATCTTCACATGAAGTAGGCCACTTAGATCCAAACAACAACCAAATTTTACATCTTTATGAGTCAAATAACTTTTGTCGACATCTTTCAAAACTTTCAAATTACCCAGACATTCCCAACCTCTGCAGTAATGCTGCAATCACCTAATTTTAAGCAATAGCATTCTCTTCCTTTGAAGTGCTGTAATTATTAATGACTTTGCTGCACTTTTACACATTGCAAACCCACGCGCTGGGTCCAATTGGATCCTTTGGCAGGCTGGCTCTGGCTCCATATGTTTGAGGCTCCTTCTCTAAGGAGTCACTACTTCTAGCCAAGAAAAAGCTTCAGCTTTATATTTAACAGACGTACATGGGAGTGGTAACTCTTAACATCTAGGCCTGTAACGTACAGTATCATGCCAAAAACATGCTAGTTGTAGGGCTGTGCGGTGTATGCAGTATGTGTCACGCCTTCCACTACACACTCATTGCATAATGGTAATTGTATCATTCAATTGAGAATACAAAGCTTAGTAAACAAATCCAATAGAGTGGGATATGCCACCGGAGTGTAAACATTAAATTGAATTAGCCCTGTGTCCTCCCTCACAATTGCAGTGCAGTGGGTTACAGTGACCATATGGGCTCCGTCAAGCATTACTGTCACCCCTCATTTAGAATAGTGAGGAGAGATGGCCCCGCTATGCCCCTCAAATCCTCTTAGCCAACATTTAGCTGATTGATTTTTTTCTCCCCCTCCTACCTCGATTTAGATCATCAATGCGATAAAAGCAGGAAGTTGTATATTATGAATTCCATTTCGTCTCATGTGGAGATGGATGGACGGGTAAAAGGAACATAAATGTTTCAGCAATCACTGCGTCCGGAAGAAAAATATCAAGGCAGCGTTATTAAATTTAAAGGTGGCGCAAACTCAGTAAAAGAAGCGAATGATCTGAGTGTGATTCAATCCTTTCGGCAAATAACCTGTGTCACATGGAGGAGGACTCGTCGCCTGTTGCGATTGCATATATATAAAAAGTTTGTCCGGTGACGTTTAAGAATAAATGTACTTCTTCAATTACATAAAAGTTTTGCTGCTGTGTTTTAGTGGGAGCTGGCAAAATCAAGTTTGAATCACATGCGCATTGTAATGATGTCTTCTTAAAAATTATTCACCCCCCTGTCTGTTTAATTCTTAGTGCCGGCCTCCATCACAAAGAACCATGGTAATAGTTTTGACTCAGCAGAATAGCATTAAGTTGGTTCCTCTTAAACAATGTATTCCCCTTCAGGCTATAGAAACCACTCTGTGCATTAAACAAACATCTCAGGCCTCTTGAACATGACGTTCAGCTCCATGTTGGCTGGGTTTGAGGATTCCAGCAGACCGAGTCCTATGTGTTCTCCAGATGGCACCACACACTGTCTCTCACAGATTGTATATACCCCCGAGATCCCTCATAAATTCAAATGATTGCCTCCTCCCCACCCCCATCCTCTCCCCTTGAACTATACTAAATGATGATCATGGAGATTATGTATTAGTAATTCCTGCCAGGTCTTTAAAAGAATGCCCATGCTGTGTGCTTAATACTCAAAGGAGGGATTATGCAGACCCCTACATGTGGTGTTGTGGCTGCATACCTCCAGTCAGACTAAACCCAATCTGTTACAGATTTGGACTAAAAGAAGAGAGGTGCAGCAAGCAAGCAGGGGGGTAGGTGGAAGGTTGCGCAGGCCATATTCATACTTTACAGTACATTCCACTTCTTCTATATCGTGGGGGATCAGAGCTAAATCTCCCTTTGGAGGTTGTGTTTTTATCTGTGTGTATAAGGACGTTAAAAAAAAAGAAAGAACCTTGGCTTGTGTCAAGGCTATACGCTTTATTATTTTTCTCTCAATCTCTCTTTTTCTCCTTCATTTTTTATTTTCCCTTTGTGGTCGAGGCAATCCCAAATCCCCATACAGCTTCCCCTTGAATGTGGGTCCAATTAAACACATATGTGGATTTTCATATTGAAGCTCATAAAAGGTAAACGGCAATGATTTACATTACATTTACATAAGGAATGCTAAGTGCCTGCACATGTGAGGTGTTAATACATCTATCAAAAGCAGATGGTCATCTCTATTCATTGCTCTCACCCCGATTGTTTCATTGACCAAAAGAATCTCATGATGTTATTTTCAAAACATGGAAAAAAAAAACATAAGCCTATTATTTGTTATGAGGAAAGGGCAAACATCTAAACATTTGGAAATATCTACCAAGTCACCAGTCTGTTTCAACCAACAGGTGACGTCTTTTTTTGCTTTATCAGAGTAAACTCCTGTCTTAGTCACTAAGTTAGCAGCAGCTTGGGTCTAAAGGGCACGTACAGAATGTCTGTTATAAGTTAACTTTTTATTGCATTCGTGTAAACAGTAAAGTTTGATTTACTGGTACATCCTACACATCCTTTACAGCACATAATTCCAAGAGATCGTTTGGCAGTGAATGCTTTTTCTGTGGAGTTCGGGAACTTGGCATGAGTGATCCGGTTAGACTTTATGAGTTAGATCAGCCAACGTGTAAAGGTTTGTGTGCTGTTAAGTGAATGATTTAATGCCACAGCTATCAGTGGCCAAAGTGTAGCAAATCATTAGAGGTGTAATGGTTTAAAGTCCAAAGGCTGCTCTCTGGTTGTGTCCTCCCATGTGCATTTGTTTTTCAAGATTTTCAGGCCACTTGTGTACATTAAATGTGAGTTGGCATCAATTTGGCCCCTTAACAAATAGAGGAATAATTTGTATTATGCTAAACAACCACATGTAGATATATGCCACAAGTATGCTAATGTGGTAAGCTGCGAATTTTAAACATGTTCATTTTAAAATTCATATTTAAATCCTTGCCTTTACTAAAGTAGCTTCGCATGACTTACACTTCTAAACCGAGACTCGGTCTGAAGCAAACTGCTACTCTCCCTTTATGCCAACTTTCTTCTGATTGGCTGCCCCTCAAAAACAGAGAGCTTGAACACCATGTGGGTGGGGTGCCGTGTTCAGACAGAGAAATGCGTCCAAGATGACCATTTTAAAGAGATTATCCCCATTTTTTGACATCATACAGATCCATCCATCTTCTTTCACTTATTCAATTCAGGTTCGTGGGAGGCTGTTGCCTAGCTCAGGTGTAGTAGGGTGAGAGTGAGAGGTTGTACACCTTGGAGAAGTCGCCAGTTTGTTGCAGGGCAACTTGAGACAGACAACCTTCAAACTCACCATCACACAAGCGGTCATTTTAGAAACACTTCATGTAGATCCAAGAGTAGAACAAACTCTGAAAGAGTTCTGTGCCCCTCACCCCAACTGGTCATACAGATGGGCGTCCCTCCCAGAGCCTGGTTCTTCCCTAGGTTTCTTCCTGTTAAAAGCTGTCACCAAAGCGGTTGCTCATAGTGGGTCATATGATTGTTGGGGTTTTCTGTGTTTTTCTTGTATTATTGTAGGACCTTTACCTTACAATATAAAGCACCTTGAGGCAACTGTTGTTGTGATTTGGCGCTATATAAATAAAACTGCATTGAATTGCACTTGGTTGATAGTAATTACTTTTATACATAAGCTGGCCTCATAATTTGATTTGTTTAATAGAAGCATCCACAACTGTAACAGTACATGTATGACGGAAAAAAAGGAAGAGTATAATAGGTCAACTTTAAAGATCGCTCACAAAGAAAGCAGAGCAAACTTGGTTTGTTAATTTGTTATTTATTTAATTCAAGTGATCAAACCTGTGGCTCTCTATTTTTTTTTAACTAAGTTTGACAATTCCTTAATTCTTCTTCATCACCTTCATCATCATAATATTTTCTTTATATGGCAAAAAAAAGGAAAGACAAGGCAAATATTTATATTTGTATTTAAGAATAAGGTTAGCAGAACATTTCAGTCGTTTGTTTACCAGTATCACATACCAAATAATATATGGGGAACAGCCTCAGTGATTCTCCTTTCCAAATAAATGTATTCAGACCATTACAGTAACTGCATGTGTCTCTAGTGCTTTGCTCAGAGACGGAGTACTGCTGCCCCCTAGCGCTGAAACAGCGCTAACGTTTCACTGCCGGGGCACAGTAAAGAAGCCGATTAAGAACAGTCTGAAACGCTGATTGAATTCTAACAACCACGGCAACACAATGAAACAGAAGGTGAGTCTGTAATAATTTAAACAATCTGAATTTATTCAGTGTTTACTTTCTTAATCCGTTTTTCTTTTGCAAACATTCTGTCAGCAGACGAAGTTTACACGTTAATCTTCTGTTCTTTTCATGAGAAGCACTGCTCATTAACTTACAATCAAGCAAGGTTGGGGAAAAAAATCAAAAGTATTGTGTGCGAGAAAACAAGTTTTCACTATCTGCCAGTCGGTGCCGTTATCAGTCAAGCCACACGCCCCCGTGAAAACAGGGAATTAAACACCCAAATGCACACACGCACACACACAGACATCAGACTATTTGAAATCCAAAACAGCGATGCACAAACAGAAGTGTGGAAACTAGTGATTAGCTGTGCAGCAGAGGTATAATTGGAGCCTCTAATTACAGTATTGCCTCATTGTTCCTCTCTACCTCTAATTTACCACATTTACATCCCAGAAAAACAATCACTTTGGTTGGGATCATAATGGCTGAATGACTAGCATTAGCTGTGGTTAAACACAGATTTAGTTATAGATGCAATAAAAGCTCTTTTGTATTCACATAATGTTCATATCTCTGAAACAAAAGAGAAACATTAAGGACACGAAATGACAGAGTAAAAGCTTCTACATGAAAGACGACACTGTGTGAAGCTATGTATGCATTAGCTTTATAAATGTATGCAGTATAGCCTGGCTACAAATGCAAGCATCAAAGATATAATTACATATCAGGTGCTGGATAGTCCAGACACTACTTAAGCAGTAACTCTTGCAAAATTGCATGTAACAAAAATGTAAGAAACATAATTACATTGCATATTTGTTGCTATAGAAACATTTTATTGTAGAAGAAAATTAAATACAAACCAAAGTCGCTGAGATGTCTAACTTTTCGCTGTAGCTTTGTAAATACTTCACAAATTAACCAAATACATTCCAGATTACCAACGTCAGATCAGCCATTATTTAAATTGGAAACTCGCGGCTGGATGGTCACCCGTCTGACCGGAGTCTGATCTGCGTTGCGATTGGCTACCAGCTCTTGAAGCTGTAGGGCCCCTCCACCAATGAAACAGAAAGCGGGGCACACGGGGCCGGTGCAATCCACGTGGCCTTCCCAAAGAGGCCGCAAGGAATGGGCATCGTAGAACGTGACGCGCCCTTTCTCAAAGTCAAGGCACACACCGAGCCGGGGCGGCAGCGGGTAAGTGAGGCCAGCGGGCGATGAATGGCCGTTGCTGTTGGTGATGGGGTCCCGCTGTTGATGGTGGTAGTTGTGCTGCGGCAGGTAGATTTTACCCATCCCCATAGTCAGAAAGCAGAAGGGCGGCGCAGAATCCAGGGCATCCTCTGCGCCGCTGTCATGGCCGCTGTCTGGGTCGTAGCTGCAGAGAGACAGAGCGAGCTCTTAAGTTCTTTTCTGACCACTGTCTTTCTTTCTTTAAACTAGTTTTTGTGGTGTCGCAGTCACAGCATGTGTGACAAATGTTTGCAGGCGGAGTCAAGTATTTAGACCCTCCTACTTTTTGCACACCTAAGATTTTGTTTATACTAAGTAGATACAATTAAACCTAATCTGTAATCCTATTTGAAGAGTGGATCCTAAACACACATAAATAAGCATTAATATTGTAGTAAATCATAATTTGCATGATCATCACTGCTGGAGTTAAAATCTATTAGGCTGGATCTGGAGCTGTCATATTTTCTTTGCTCACCGGGGACTGGCCATGTCTTGTGGAAGGTGAAACCACTCCTGCAGTTTGGACTCCAGGCCCACTCCCACCTGTTCCAAAAAGAAAAGAGAAACAACTCATTTTTATAGCAAACCTCATTAACTTATCCAATTTTGTCCTTATTTTAATCAAGTGGATGCATTTTAAAGAATGGATTAGCCTTTTTCTTAAAACAATAGGAGTAACCATTGAAGCTCTTTTCTGAACTGAGCAGCTACCCTTGATAAAAACCTGGAAACTATTCTAATGCTCATCAGACAATATCTTTATTAATATATATGAGGTATCAAAACCCATCATTAAGAATACAGGGGAAGCTGTTGTATGTCACCCTTATTGGGGTAAATACTAAAGTTTTTGATATTGGCTGGGGCCTTTCTGGTACTCAGACGTCTTCCCAAGTAAGTTAAGTTAATTGGCAATTCTAATTTGTCTATAGGTGTGAATGGTTGTCTGCCTCTCAATCTATGGCAGCTGGAATCTGCATTAAGAAAATAAATGATGTAGTTAAAACTCTGGAGTTTATATTACCTTTAAATAGAGCCATGGAGGAAAAAGAGAATTACAGTTATTAGGTATATTAGTTTCAGTATATTAATTAAAATAGTTTGGGTTATTTCACAAGCTGGAACCATTTCCTCATTTAGATTCGACAGCATTTCTAGTAGATAACAGCAGATGGCGTAGGCATGAATTGAGGCTGCACTTTGGGGAAAGCCTCAGAGGGGATTGGCTGCGGCTCCTAGACAAGGCAGATCCCCATCTACTAATGAGAGGTAAATAAATTGGAAAAGGGAGCAAGGGTGAGGCACGAAAATGAGAACTTCTTGTAGTCCGCGTGGTAGGTTTATGTGTTCTCTGGGTTCCTGTCACTATTATAAGTGGATTAGGGCTCATTTGAAAAAGGAAGGCGGCAGACAGTGTGTTTAAATGCACACACATTTACACACACTTTGTCATTTCATTCAAACATTTCATTTTGGTTGAATGAAATGACAGAAGGCTGATCTTACATTGTAACAAATATGATGAAATCACACTTTAACTTCATTAACATATCATTCCCATTGAACCTTCCTCACACCAACTCTGAGGACATTTTAAATTTAGATTTTTTTAATACCCTTAAAGCCATACATCTCAGGACCTCTCGGTATCATACAGGCCAGTTTGTACTTTGAGATTGTTTGGACAAAGAGGCCATTTGTCTGTTCTAGTGCTCTTCTTCAAACTAAAATAGAAACTGTTAAGAGGTAGTTTGTAGTCACGACACAAAAACATAAACATAAAAACACAAGAGTTTCATTTTCCTTGAGTTTCACAGACTACATTTGTTTTTATTAGTCTTTCTTAATCTGATGACCTGTGGCCTTAAGCAGTGCTCAAATTGGGTACTTTTTAAAAGAAGATTAAAGCATTTTTAATCTGGAATATTTAGGTTTTTTTGGAAAAAAAAAGTCTATACTATACTCTACACACAGCAATGGGAATATTGACCTGGCAGTACGTTTTCATGAATTGCTCAGTTCAATTCAGTTTTATTTAAATGGTGCCAAATCACAAGGCCTTAAGGCACTTTATATTATAAGTATAGATCCTGCAATAATATGGAGAAAACAGAAAACCCCAACAATCAGATTAAACCCTATGAGCAAGCACTTTGTCAACAGTGGGGAGGAAAAAAATTCCTTTTAACAGGAAGAAATCTGGCAGAACCAGGCTCAGGGAGTGGGGGCGGTGGGGGGCTGGGGGGGAGGAAGACGGGACAGAGACACGATGCGGAAAAAAGCCAAAGATTAATAATAACCAATGATTGTTGAAATGTGTGCACATGAATTCACTTGCCTTCACAAGGTAAGACCCAGGCTCCACTGAGCATGCCCAGTAGTGCCGTCCTTGTGTAATGGCTACATCCCCTACAAGTAGGTCAGAAGTCAGGTGACAGGAAGTTAGGGCGTGGTCGGCAGCCTGCAGCAGAGAGAGACCAGGAACGCTGCGGGCACAACGCTGCTCTTTGCTGACCACCAGGCGGTCGGCGTGGAGACCCCAGCGAGAGTCCAGGTAGAAGTTAAGCACTGAGAGGAGAGAGTGTGACAGAGGACACAGCAGAGGGAGGGGAGAGAAGAAGAGAATGGAGGCAAGAAAGAGGGAGAAATGAGAAAACAAAGGGACAGGTGCATACAGAGATGACACATGGGGTTTTTAAAAGTGACAGGAGGTGACAGACAGATTTACAATCAGAAAACGGCAAAGAGAAAAACAGTGAGGAGAATAAGAAACAGCTGAGAGGAGAGCCTAGAGGGAGAGGACCACAGAGCAGGCATGCACCTCCTTCCACCAGCACTGGAAGAGAAAAGGACACTGGTCCACATAACGCACTGATGACTCAGGAAGTAAAACACAGAAGCTTTGGCAGCGTTAAGTGCAGTATTTCCACAGGAAGTACAGTGGGAAGATATGCAATAGCAGGAAGGAAACAACAGCCAACAAGGACACGAGGAATTCAGCAATCACTCAAATCGATGGTTAAAAAGCCCTAGATCTGAATCAGATCCATGTTGTTAAGCCTCAGGTCTTAACAAACCGCAAACCTCATCAGCACTCAGACAGATCTCGTTACAGGAGCTAAAGTGGGAGGCGGAGGGATGAGTGGGTGTCTAAGCAGGGGTGGAAGAACAGAGGATGTGTGGGATGACCGTAAAGAGAAACAGGGAAAAGACCAAATAATTTAGTGGTATGGGGTACAGAGATTTGGTGAGAGGATACGTATGAGTGCACTTCTTACGTTCTGTAGGAGGCACGTAGTTTGGCAGCGTGGAAGTAGCACAGTTGAGGATGACAAGTAGAAAGCTGTGAAATGGAAATAATACATGAGAGAAAGATGAGGAAATAAAGAGTAAGAAAGTGAAGATGGTTCAAAAGTGAAGAGAGAGAGAGAAGTGGAAATAAGTGAGAAAGGAAAAATTGGAATGACAGAAAAGAAAAGAGAATGGATTTTTAAGCATTTCACCACAGTAAGCATTGCAATGCTTTCATTTTAAATGAAAAAACAAAAAATGGGTGCGATGTGGTGAACGCGTCAAGTGTGTATGATGCATTTTACACTCAACAGAGGGATAAACCATCCGAATTCATATCTCCTTTTCTGAGTAATTATAACATATTTGATACTGTCTAAAGAGCTTGAGGTCTTGAGGTACAGCAAACTTATTTGGAAGAGTAACAGATATGCCTGCTGTATTTAGCTACGCTAGTTTAAAAAAAAACAAACACCTTAGGCACAAAATGCCTGCAACAAAAGACGTTGTGAGCCAAGAACTGTTTACTGGGTGTTTACTCTGGGTATGTTTTCTTACAGTTTTACCTCCAGCATGCACAGTTACTGTGAGCTAAGTTAATGTTGGTGCCAGTTTCTGTGTTTCTGTTACAAGCAACGTGCCTGCATGGCGAGAGAAACAGACGAAATAAATCAGAAAATAAAGTCCAAGTAATAAAGCTTTCACCAAGGAAAGTGGGGTGCGTGTTTACACCGTTTTTCTTGTTTATTTATTTATTTTCTGCAGTTGCTTTTGTTTCAGGTATTAATATTTTCATACTTTTGGGGATTATGGTTTGTACAGTGCACATTGTTAACCCTGCAAGATGTGAATGACACTAAAACACATGCAGTTCATTAAGGTGTGCTAAGAGTCTCCTGACGATTCTTCCATGTTGGGAGCTGGGACTAAAATCAGGTTGGACTGCTCCTTTAAACCAGCTCTGCATAAGAGTCTAACCTAAAGGTGTTCAAGGGAATCTGATCGCAGGTCAGGTAAATTAAACTACTCGTGGAATGTACATAACAAGCAAATTTTTATCACATTATGGATTTTCAAGTGACTTAAAATGTGACTCTTGTCTAACAAATTTACAGTTTACGTACAGTGCTGTGATTGTACTGTTGAAGTATTTTCCACCTTCCTGATTTCTTAGTTTTATGCATATTTATCACACTTAAATGTTTCAGATCATCAATTGAATTCTAATATTAGAAAAGTATTGTTTTTAAATAGTGATTTCATTAATTAAAGTGGAAAAAGCTACCTGGACCTGTATGGAAAAAGTAATTATCTCCCTTGTTAAATCCTTAATTAACTGTGATTAACAACATTTTTTTGGACAGATGAATTTAATTTAACATGTCACACCCAGGCCCGACTACTGCTAGACCTGTTGAATCAAGAAT